TATACAGTGGGTGATCGGTTAACGAACATAATCCGTTCCAAGACTTTGTTCGCTATCCGAATTGTTCGTTAACCGATTATGAATTTACCATAGGTTTGTATGGGAATTTGATTAATTCGTTCTGGAGACACCCCAAAATAAAAAATATATACTTTTTTACTACGTTTATTTATATGTAATAATAAAAATACATATATACACAGACATGCATTTTTATTAGTTATGGTTTTTGGTTTGTGGGGGTTAAATAATCTGTCTAATGTCGATTGCTTTTCTCTCTTCTTCAGGATTTTTCAGAAGTAATTAATAGCATTGTAATTGTAGAGATCCCCAAGCCTATTAACTTCAACCTGGTTTGTATGCCATTCTAAGACTGTTGATCTAACATCCCCCACTTCTCTAAAATGATCTTATTCAATGTTCATTTAAAATACAGTAGAGTCTTGATTAACTATGATTCTACATTATCCAAAATGAATTGTGAAAAAGAACACAGTACAGAAATCTTGTTACTCAGAAAATAAAATGGCTCTAGAAATCCTAAAAAGAAGTCACCTTCTCTGGTGTTGATTTTATAAAGATTAAAGGATTTTTAATTATCATAAGACTTTGACAAAATGCAAGAATATTGTTATAAAATCATTTTGTACTAAACATTTTGAGCTTTTGATTATCCAACATACCTTTGGTCTGCATTACAGTACTTTAGATAATCAGGATTATACAATAAAGCTTAATTATATGTATTTACATATATAAATGAACTTACTTTTGAAAGGATCTATTTTAAATTAACAGATATGATTATCATTATTTTAATAAGTTTGCATCTACATTAAAGTTAAGAATATTATGATTTAATTGGCTTTAGAAATAGCAATAATTGTTATATTGTACATTTTAAATTAAAACTTAATAATACAGTAAGGCCCTGCTTAATGCAGGGGATACGTTCCTAGATAACAAAGCACTAAGCAAAACAGCATTAAACAAAGTCATTTTAATATAGAGTAAATGTGGAAAGGGGAACATGCGACCAAAAATAAACAAATTTTACTATGATTTTAAGTTATATTATTATTTAAATTAATATA